GTACATTCACAGAGTTCGATTATGGAACTAAAGACACTGAAGAATATAATAAAAAATAAAAAAAATATTAAGCAGTCTGTGTGGTAACTTGACCTGACCCGAAAGCCTTTTCCCTTTTTACAGAAATCGGCTGAAATTTGACCTATCTATTATATTTTTAAACTTCTAGACGAATTATAGCTTCAAGTTAGCTACATAGTTTTTAATTAAGAAACTTACTTATTTTGCAGTATTTTACTAAAACATGTCAAAAAATCAACAAATAAAGCTAATTTTAGCTATTTAAATAATTTTTATTTTGTAAGATTTTGTCAAAAGTGGTCAAAAAAATCACTGAATTACTTCAAAAATAGTGTTTTTTTTTACTTTTCTTCTTAAATTTAGCTTGTTTTTGGGCAAGAAACTTCCTTATTTCGAGAAATTTAGTSAAAATAAACCAAAATCATTGGATTTTCACACAAGCTATGTTATTTTAGCTCCTAAAATTCATTAAATTGCGTCAAAGCTGGCGTTATTTTAACTTTTCTTATATGGATTTTGTTTTTTTGAGACAGGAACAATTTTATTTCTAAAAATTGAGTCAAAACAAGCCTAAAACTGATCAAAGATAACTAATAATCTCAAAATTGAGATTATTATAACCTGCTTTGAGCAATTTAGCTAATTTTTAAGCTAGAAATTGACTATTTTTGATAAACAAATTTTAAAAAATCTGAATTAGGCCAAAAATTTATCTCTGTTTTTTAACTTTAAGACTTTTTTGTCAGGATTTTTTATTTTCCAAGATTTTGTAAAAATGCCCAAAAAATAACTAAATTATCTCAAAGTTGGCGATATACAGAGTGCGCCAGAACTCGCGCCCCAGAGAAAATTTTCAAGTAAGGTAAGATACCAGGAACATGAAAAAAATGTTAAAAAAATTCTATCTGTCAAAAAATTTTGACATTTATTTTTTGACATTTGACATATTTTTTATATCTATTTAAGAATACTGATGATCTTGTATATGTTTTTTTACAATTATTTAGTAAAGGGACAAAAATTTTGTCAATAAAAGCCACAAATAACATTAAACAGAGTTACAATTTAGGATACATATTCCTTGTTTCCTACTTTAATAGCCTATAGCAAAAAAACTTGGAAAATTATTTTTCTAACATAAATAAATAGAGTCAAAGTGCAAACTTTAAACCCTCATAACTTCGAAATTTTTATAGATAATTTTTTTTAACATTTCGATTTTCCTGGTATCTTACCTTATATGGCATTTTTCTCTGGGGCGCGAGTTCTGGCACAGCCTGTATATTTGACTTTTTTTCAATGAATTTAGGCAAAATTGGTTTTTGAATCAGAAACTATTTTATGTTGAAAAATTTAGTCAAGACAAGCCAAAAATTACAAAACTTTATAAAAATTACAATTACAATATTTTTGCATTTTTCAAGTGATTTAGGTCGTCTTTGGGCGATTTAGCTAACTTTTTAGCTAGAAATTTACCCCTTTTTGTAAAAAAATATTTAAGATAATGTTCGAATTAGGCCCATAATGTCGTAATGTGTGGCTGTTTTGCGTAATTTACACAGTTTTTGATTACGAAACTTATTTATTTTGCAATATTAAAACATGTCAAAAAATTAACAAATAAAGCTACTTTTAGCTATTTCAATTTTGTAAAATTTTGACAAAAGTGGTCAAAAAAATGACCGAATTACTTCAAAAATAGTGTTTTTGGACATTTCTTCTTAAATTTAGCTTGTTTTTGAGCAAGAAACTTCCTTACTTCGACAAATTTAGTCAAAATAAACCAAAATCACTCGATTTACACACAAATTACGTTATTTTTGCTCCAAAAAATCACAAAACTGTGTCAAAACTGCCGGTATTTTAACTCTTCTTTTATGGATTTTGCTTGTCTTTGAGGCAGGAACGATTTTATTTTCAAAAATTTATTCAAGCCAAAAACCAGCGAATTTTTCTCAAAACTGTTAAATAGTGTCAAAGTGCAAAATTTAAACTCTCATAATTTCGATAGAATTTTTTAACATTTTTTCCTTCTTTCTGGTATTTTACCTAACATTTTTCTCCTCGGCTTGAATTTTGGCGCACCCTGTATGATAAAAGGATGGTACACTTAATTGGTAATTTATAAAGTGTTTATTTTTTATTGAAGTTAATTGAATATATTCATTTCTTTCAAACATTCCTGTTGTTGCATTAGTTGATTGTGCACATTAATTATGGGCAAGTATGGGTATGGCCATATT